TAACAACAGGTAATATGCATAATTTATGGTGTTACAGTGCTATCTTTTTGATGTTTATGATGGATAATACTCAGTTTTTGCCCTCATATTACTGCTTTAAATTATACCACAAGAAAATTAATGAGAAAGTAGATTTATGGGTTTCATTTGTTTGTCAATTCGGAAATTAATTGGGTGTTAATTTTAGCCGTCCCTCACTAGAGCAGGACTTGGGGTGTGTGCATTACTTTGCATTCATTGTGGCTAACCTCCCATTTACCGAGGGTCACTAGCTTTGCATACATTAAAATAGCCCTCCGGCTCATTCCCTTGATTACTTTTTGAACTGCCATGCATTAGAAAATTTACGCCTTTCTGTTATAATTATGAAACTTGAGTRTTGGAAGACGTCGTCTCCGCGACACCAGCAGCACCGGGTTTGTCCTCTTGCGTGTGGCTCTGGGGTGGTCTTTCTGTGGGATGGATCAGCAGCAGTAGGGCAGCAGATAGTGCCCTGTGTGAAGGGAACCGCCACCATCTGTAGACGTGATCTCCGCGACAGCGCAGGGGCCCTGTGACTTGCTGCTTTTGTCATCTGCCTCTTCCTCCCACGGGTCTCCGTGAATTTAGGGACAGCCCTCCTTGTGGACAGGGTCTCTGCTCCCATCTCCTCCACCAATCCTACCYGTCCTCACTGTGCCTGCTCCAGGAGCATGGCCAGGAGGAGAAGAATGATTGACAACCACGTGCGTGTCCGCAGCGGAGTACAGCCCACTTTGACGCCGCGTCCTCCTCCAGGATGCTTCCCCTGGGCTTCCGCTCTGATTGGAGTGGGAGTGACACCCTCTGAGSAGGGCTCTGGGGCTGGCTTAGGATCCCAGGCCAGCCCCCCAGACACTGGGGGAGTGGGAACTTGCCCTCCAAAGTCCTTTGTCTGTCAGGAGTGGCCACACAAACCCTGAGGCCATTTCAAGGGATCCAGTCTTTCACTTGACCAGACCCAGAAGTAAATACAGGCTTTGTATCTTAATATGGGCAGGCTCGTCTCTCTTTTTTTGCCTGAAAAGATGATGTAGGATTTTGAGTCCCGGTGCCCCATGAGTAATTTGAAAGTCCTCCTCCTAGAACCGAAGCCGACCTGACGCCCACCCGAGTGCCTCTCCAGCCGCAGATCGCAGAGTCAGCTGACGGCCCAGGAGCAGCTACAGTTTTGATATTTCTCACATAATGAAAATTCACATAGGCGCCCCKTTCCCTTCCTCCTGTGGCCTCCTGGTCTCCGCCCTGGCCGGCGGTTGTCCTTCCTCTTTACCTGGGAGAAGCAGGGTTTTCCCTTTGGGGTCAGGGGAGGCAGTCCATGGAGTCACTCCTGTTTTCCTAAAAGTGACGTCAGCATGGGCTGCTCTGCTCTCCTCCCTGTAGAAGTAGAAGCATTTTTTACAAAACTATGTTTAGTTTGATTTACACATCCTTCCACGAGCCGACCRAGTTCTTTCAGGGCATTTATTCTGCTTCATATAAATAATTGATCAGCCAAGTTAATTTACTTCTGCCTGACTTGGTCAACCTTAATTAACTGCCCTGGAATCAAGACTGAACTTTTTTGTTAGCTTAAAATCTTTCTCAAGCATGATAACAAGGTTTTATTTTCCCTAAATTCTCAGCATCAACACTGTAACCAAGGAAATAATCATAATAATAAAACTCTGCTTTAATTTACTATAAATACCTTGGCCTGGACATCATGGATCTTCCAGAGTAGCAGCTCTGTTGCCAATGTCGGTAAATAAGCACGCCCCACTCGACCCTTACTTTTCTACATGTCCCTCCACACAGAAATCGGCCTTTTGAAAGCGGTAGCTGTGCGGTTTCCAAGCAAGATGTGAAGTGGGCCATTTTGGCTCCCTGGGCTTTGGGAGACCTGTGTTCCTGCAGCGTCAGCCCCTGTGGGCTGGGCCGAGTGGATCATGTGAGGCAGAGCAGCCTGTGTGTCCGAGAGCCATCAGGCAGGGCAGAGGCAGGCTGGCTTGTTCCTGGAGGAAGGACTCGCTAGAGGGTGTGACGTGGCATTGCCCTTCAACCGGCTGAGCCCTGGAGGCAGGCACTTGGGGTGTCTGTTCAGTGGTTCTGTGGGTTTGTCATGCACCCGGGCGCTTTCCTGGTGACGGGGTGACCCCGAGGGAAGTGCAGGTACAGCCCACTGGGGCCTGGGACAAGCTTCCAGCAAGAAGAGAGGGCACGGCRCCCCAAGGTCGAGGAGGGGACGCGGCTCCTGTCCCCACACTCGACCAGAATCCTAGTATTCAAATGCTTTTCTCTGCCTACCTGCTGCCCTGGTTGATGTCCTTTCTAGAATTTCCTTAGTTTTCTTTTTGCTGATTTAGTCATTCACCACTTTGCAAAAGGACTTTGCCAACTGGAACATTGCCATCATTTATTGAAGGGACAAGTTCAAGTCTGAAATGGAGAATATTGTGGCTACAGCTCTCCCTCAATCAGTTGAGCTTTAGTTTTCTTATCTGTAAAATGGGGATGGTGACACTTGCTGGCATTAACTCCCTCCTGTAGACTTGTCAGGAGGTTGAGAAGGACATCAGAGGGTTCTGCAGCCTGTGAAATGTGCTGTAATTAGAATGCCTGATCAGCGTCATGGGACCTTCGATAGAACTATTGGTGGCCCAGACGTCCAGAGATGTTCTGAGACATGAAGGCTCCTCGCTTTTCAAGTGAGCTTTTCAAAAATCTGTTTTCTCCTGATTGGTTTGGGAGATTATGGGAAATTTTAAATCTTCCAACCTACATACTACTGCTGGCACTTGACTAATTAAGGACATCCKTAGACCAAAATAATCCTTTCTGCAATTTTGGTCCCCAAGCCTGCGCTCTCACAAGCCTGAATCAGAAGCCAAGCTGCTTGGCTGTGTGCCTGCTCGACTTTACCAGAGGACTTGGCAGTCTCTGGAATGGCGTGGAGCGAAAACAGAACCTTCCCATCAAACTGTGTGCTGGAGATTGTTGCGGCCCCACCAACAGGGTGGAGACAAAAGCTGGCAGGGGTCATGTCCAACACCCTGTGGTCAGTGCTTGAAGGCAGGGTCTTCCAACATCTCTGTCCCCCAGACGGAAGATCCGGGAGCCCAAGGAAAGCACAGAGTTGATGGAAAGGCAACGTTGTATCTTTGGGGGGGTCCATTCCTGGTATGGGTAGATGGTCCAGAAGGTGGGGGGAAACAGCAGTTTTATTTAGGAACATTTCCATAGGTTTCCTTGCCAAGGATTCTAGACAACTTTTCTCTAAGTGCCCCCAGCAAGGTGGCACCTTCCCTAGYTTCTTTACAGATAGATGGGTGGTTTGTGAAGAGAAACTGAAACATTGTGTCTAGTTTCAAAGTTGGTTCCTCTTTTGGAGATGAGCAGGACCCCACTGTGCCGTGATATACCCCTGCCTGCCTCTTATCTCTGGAGGGCCTACACTGGCGGTGGTGTTTGGAGAGACGCCCTGGGCAGCAGGGACAGGAATGCACTCTCTAAAGAGGCTCTTGGTCCTGGGAAGGCTGGTCCCAAGGGAGGAGAGAATCAGCTGTTGTCTCTGAGTGAGTGTCCCACCTGTTAATGAAAAATGCCATTCTTAATCCACTTCAGAATTGGATTAACCTAAAAAAAATGTGTCTTTGGGGTTTGTAAAGTCTGTCTTCAAGTTGATTCAAACTTTCCCCCTGAAAGGAAATAAATTTGTGATTTTCTTCTTATTCTTCCATTTGGATTTGATGCAGATCTGTAGAAAACAGACTTAAACCAGTTTTTAAGAAAGGGACAACCTCCTCTAACCATGTCCAGCAAGTTTTAATTTCCTTGTTGTCACTTATTTCACATAGAGGGGAGAAATGAGTAGCCCTGGCTGGACCTATGTCCTTCTGTGGCTGCAGAAATGTGTGATAAAAGTTTGCCTTCCTCTTATCTCGAGTTGGTATTTCACATGAAAGTCTTTGTTATTTGGGCGTTTCTCAGCTTTGATATCTGACCAGTGGACTTCCCTCAGTGATAGTTCTTTTCCTTCCCAAGTCCTGCCCTCTGGAGGTGGAGTGTGACCCTGCCATTTCCATTGTCCTGCCACCCCACCTCGGCCTTAAGAAAACAGGCCTTGCTAAGAGCTGCGGCCTCAAGCTGGTGAGGGTCCCCACCTCCCCGTCCAGAGCTGTGAAACACAGTTGCACCAATTGCCTCTGGAGGCCTCAGGGCCCTCACCTGCAGAGTGGGGCTGAGGTGGTCAACAGGGCTAAATTCGAGAACCTCCGTCAGTCACTATAGTGGGTAGGGCCTGGCAGGTATGATCTGTCTGTGGTCACCTTGCCTGCCTTTATGGTTCCGAGAGCTAACTTGGTCTGTGCCTGGAGAGTATCAGGAATGAAGGAACCTACGAGATCCRGATTCTCCACATCTCCTCAGATCTGAAAGGAGGAAACAGTCCCCTGTCCCTAGAACCGGCCCATCCTGCTGGAATGGCCAGTTTGGAAGTGGCTCGTACGCGAGTGCCTGCGAGGAGTGGGGATCCTTAACATGCTTTGGTGTTTGTGAGGTTCCGTAGCCCAGATCCACTCACGGGGCCTCCTGGGTGGGTGTCCTGGTCCGTGGTGGGAAGGACAGGACACCACAGCCCCTGCCCACATTAAGGGGGAGGGTTATAGCTCATTACACTCTAGGACAACAAGGTTTTTGAGGAAAACATCTAGATACAATTAGAAATTGAAAACTGAATTATACTTACTTTTTGTCAGTATAAAAAGTTRTTTGGGACAGTGTTGAAACTCGAATTAAGACTGATAGTCACAACCTCCTAAGCTCTGAGGACCAGTCCACTAATGAGGGATAAACTGAGTGAAAGAAAATGACAACTGTTTACAGAGTTTGGCAAACATAAAGCAGGGCCTTTTTCTTTGTACAACAACTGTTTTAACAGCTGCTTCTCTCTCTCTCTCTCTTTTTTTCTTCTTTTTCCCCCCTTTTCAAAATCCTTCTATCAGGTTTTTGAGTCATGATGCAAGAATCTGGGACTGAGACAAAAAGTAACGGCTCAGCCATCCAGAATGGGTCCAGCGGCGGCAACCACCTGCTAGAGTGCGGCGGGCTCCGGGAGGGACGGTCCAACGGGGAGGCGCCGGCCACCGAGCTTGGGGCAGCCGACCTGGCCCACGTCCAGCAGCAGCAGGTACTGGCGGGTGAGGGCGGCGGTGCTGTGGTCCCCAGGCCTCTGCACACGTCACCACGCCCCATGTGTTGTGCTCACCTGTCTATGCATGTGTGTAAGCAGCCTCCCGCCAGCCCCTGCACTCCAGGGGTCCTGGTGGCAGGCTCCARTGGCTGATCTTCACCCCGCCAGGGAGTTGACATCTTGAAAGTCCCCTTCTGGGGAGTCTTGTGGGGACTTCAGGTTGAGTGGACCTTGGGCCCCTCCCTCTTAGCCTCCAACCTATCACCCTGACCTGTAGGTGCTTTGAATGAAGGACCTTTGGAGAAGTGGGTTCCCTGTGCATTAGTTAAAGGATAAAGAAACTTAGTCACAATAACTTTTTAAGAATTAGGCTTCAGCTTTATGAAGGAAGAGACAACGGTTAAAGAGAAGGTCTGAGTGAGAAATAAAAGAGAAGATTCAGGGAGACAAGGAAAAAGAGTACGTGGAGAAGTCATTAGAAATACATAGGAAACCAAAGCCCTGGCTAAACAAGGGGCAGAGYTGCCCATGACATAGGAGTCACCGTGGGAAGGGCTTCCTGCTGCCCCTAGGAATTTAGGGCCCTGGGGTGTGTACACGGTTTCCTTGTGTGCTCAGGGCAGGAGGAATATGGCTAGTTCCTATTGCTGTTTTATCTTATGTCCTCTTGGTGTCCCCCCCCAAAAAAAAATGCACCACAGCTCAGACACAGCCCTTCCTGCTGGGTCTCTGCAGGCATGAAGCGATACTTGAGAGTCAYAGCTGAAATGTGACCAAGACCTGGGTCACCTTGGTAAAGGGCTGACGTCAATTCCAACAGTGATAGCACTTCCTTGAGGACTGGCCGTGGCTTCCCAACTTCTGCTGGACTTGGTCGGGAAGTCCTGTTCCTTCTGCTAATACTTAGAGACGGCCCTCCCTTGGCTGGTTTGCTTCTTGGTTCCGATGCCACTGGCGATCAGCTGCGGGAGATGGGGAGACAATGACATGTCTTGGGGCCTCCCTGGAAAGGAAAGAGATTGTTGGAGAGTGGTGGAAGAGACAGGCAGACCTTCTCTTTAACCGTTGTCTTGGAACCTGTATCAGAGGGGCAAAGGGCAGCTCTTAGGATAAGCTTTGGCAGCCTCCGGGGTGGGTTCCATGTTCCCGTACCTAAGAGTTATTTTATTTTAAAATATAAGGAGCCAGTTGATGGTGACCTCATTCCAAGGTGGAGGGACTGGTGGGAGTCGGTGCAACCCATTGGGAAAAGACAACAAAAGACAGGGAACTTGAGATGAGTCCTGTGTCAGTCAACAGGCTTCCTGTGAGGGGCTCCCCCTCTTGACAGGCCGCCCCCAGGCTTTGCACCTGAGCCTCGGGCTTCACGTCAGCTGGACTCTCCAGTGTTGGTGCTGTATTCATTTGGCAGGTTTAAGTGAATGCAAGTGGGCAAATTGTAGCCTACGAGATGGTCAGCAACATCCAGCAGTAGTAGAAGGGTATCTGTGCCCATGCACGTTTATATGATGTTCTCAGCTAGTTATGGCCATGTGGAGGATAAGTAGATGGTGCTTTTTAGAGTTTTTTTTCCTAAGTCCTTATTAAGATTGGGCTGAAAATGGACTCTTTGTTTTTACTGGTACATTATAATATGACTGTTTTATTATGGAGCTGTTGAAGAAGGGCTGTTGACCCAATGAACAGTATACACCTTTACATTAATTAAATAACTGGGAGATTAACTTCTTTGGGGTTTTTATGCAGGGTGTGACATTCGTCAGCCTGCCAAAAGCTTGACACCTACAGCGTACCATGAAAACACATTCACACACAGAAAACAGTCTGAGCTGGGCAGTCTAGCCGCAGCTTCTTGGAAAATGATCCCTGGCAAGGCTAGATTCGCCCGCCTTCCCTCTGCCACGGTGGGAGCCACTTTTGAAAATTGGTTAGGGGTTTTGATAGGGAGTTCAAGAAATTCATCTCGATTGGACTTTGTACCTCTTTTAAAATATTCCGTGGCAGTTATATTTCTGTTTGCCATTAATTAGTGTGTTCGGGGAAGAAGAAAGCAGTTGGGGCTTTCATGGTGGCTGGAACCCTACCTCTCGTGGCCAGCAGGCCTTGCAGAGCAAAAACCCTGATGTCCGCCTGGCTCRCCCGGGTTTGTGGGAAGGCTCTGCACAGGTTTTTGGTGGAAAGGGAGTCTGAGGCCCGCTCGAGGAGAGCCCCCGGGGGTGGGGGGAGTGCTTCCCAGGACTGCAGCCGTCAGTCAGAGTGCAGAGGATTGTGACAGTCCCAGGGATGTGGGTGGTGTCTGTCGCGTTGGGGTCGCAGGTTTTGACTTGAAGTGAGGACAGCAGCAGTGAGAACATCACAGCCATGCTGAATTCATTACTGMGGTAGTCACACAAAACCACGGATAAAATTTCAATAACTGCGGGCCACAGTTGGGTAAACAGTTGCACTGAAACTTAATTCCTGTTGACTTTCCCCGCTCCCCGCCAGGGGCACATTCTGATGCCGTCGTACAGAGACAACAGGGGTTACGGCTTTGATTAATGCAGGACAGTGGAAGAGAATTAGAACTGTGCAATGCGCCAGGCGTCCACGGGACACACAGCTCTGGCTGAAAGGGCCTGCTGTAGAAATGAGTTAATTAGGCCCAGGTTAGCACTCGGTGTCTGGGGATTTTCCAGTCCCACCCATGTTATTGACGATAGGGAGCGCTGAAAATAAATAAATGCCAACCTGGCCATGTTTGCTTACTGTCACCAAAGGTGATTTCCAATGAGAGCAAATTCCCTTTGCAGAGAGGATAGCTCTGACAGAGATTCACTATGGAGGAGTGGATTCTCAACGGGGCTCCAAACCGAATTTGTTTAAAAAAAAAAAATCCAGCCAGCTAGTTGACAACATAGAGAAATGGGAGGAATCCCAGGCTTTTCCTTTTCCTCTTGAAAAATAGAGTATCTGGCAACCTTGGGCCACTGTCCCACAAGGGCAGCGATTATTGGGAGATGGATGGCGGCTGAGGCCCCGAGCTCCGGCCCCGCCATGCAGGCTGGTTCTCGAGCTCGACTGTGCCCCCTGGAAGTGGAGCTGCGGGTTCTGCTGGGGGAGACACAGCCCTCCCTCAGTAGCCATCAGCCACGCAGCTGCTGCCCCAGTCGGAGCGGACTGCCCTCCTCCAACACCGAACCCAGGACTCTGGGCTGTTTCCGCTCTATTTCTATCTGGGCCACGAAGCTATTACAAGAGTAGTTTTCCAGTCACATAATTTGAGAGAGTTTCAGAAGATCCTCCTCTAGCCATCGAGCGGTGCTTTCTCCACAGCCACGTCCGCCTTTGACTTCCTATTACGCCCATCTCTGTGTCTGTGGAAGTTCTGTACTAGAAATGCCTTGCTCCATTAGGAGGCTCCACAACAAATACTATTACCCATTACCAAAGTTTTTTTTTTTTGTTCCTTTAAGAAAGGGTTTTAAAATGTCCAGAGCAATTTCATAAACCGTGTGGATTAATGCATTTTAAAAGTCTTGAATTTTAGAAAGCAGAATTTTATTTCCATATTGCTGCAAGTGAGAGCTTTTTCAGATAAGCATATTACATAGAGCATAATGTTTAGAAGTTTCTCCATATACAGCATATGCTGTCAGGTCAATTAACAGAATGCATACTAGGAAATGTTTATTCAATAAAAATGAATAGCTGTTAAATAAAACAGCTATTTCTTAACAACACTCCATGTAATGATGGGTGTCTTTTTTTTTTTTTTTTTATTTTTATTTATTTATCTCTTTGGTACCACCTGGCAGTTTTATTGTCTGCAAGTCAGTATAGGGAGAGCCTTGGTGCTGTGTTTTTGAGGTGTGGCTATCACTTTATATGAGAAGAGCCAGTTGAGAAGGAGTCTGTGAAAAAGATAAGCTATATTTGGAACTCAGACACGTTATTTAGAGAGTGGGAGTAAATGAAGAGTTGACTTTGCATTGCTTCTTTGACATTTGATTTAAAGCATTGGGTCTTGGGGTCTAAAAGAGGGGAGTGTGTGTTTCAAGTTAACAATGCAAACAAGAGAGAGAACACGTGAGTGGCCAGTAAGAGGAGAGATACAAAGGATGAAGAGTGTCTCCTGAAAAATTATAAAAGGGAATGAGGAAGATGCGTCGTGTTGGACTTTGCCCATGAACCATTGTAGGATGTAAAATGTCGATCACTGCGCCGGACCCTGGGACCTCTCAGAAGCAGGTGTGCGTGGTGGGATTCAGGACAAGAGTGTAGTTCTGTGTGTTCCAAGGAGGTTCAGAAACGGTAGGATCAGAGGAGTGTGCCAGGAGCAGCAGAATTACCATGGGCTCTCRGTCGCCCGGGGTCTCCTCATCAGCAGAGTCAACCCACCCTGCATCTAGAATATTCAGGAAGACAGTTTTGTCTCTTCTGAACATGTGCAGACATTGTTTCTTTTCATCATTCCCTACACAATAYAGTATCTCAACTTTTTACTTAGCATTTACTTTGGATGAGGTGTTAGTGATCTAGAGATGGTTTAAAGTATCTGGAGGCCCTTGGGGGGAAGGTTCTGCACAAATACCATACGCCATGTGGAATCAGGGAGTTGTGGCTTTGGGGTGTGTGTGGGGGGTCCTGGAACGAGGCTTCTGTGGACACTGAGGCCTCATGAGCAAAGAGCCCACATTTCAACAGTTTAAGGGGAGGGTAAAGGTTCTTCTATGTTATAGCACAGATCAATAAATAAGTACAAATTCTTCTCTGCACTTTCAAAACGACGGCCTGGAGCCCTCCGTGAGGATYTGCTCATGGACTCACCGTGGGTAGAGCAGAACAGGGGTGCTGTCCTGCAGGCTCTCCGCTCTTGAACTGTCTCCTACAAGGGAGCGCCGTTGGCAGTGGGTGGGCAGTGGCTTGTTGTGTCAAGCTGCCTTTCCTTCCTATCCTTAGCATGCTGATTTAGGGACCATGTTGGGATGCCAGGGGTCACCCCTGCCTGGGTCTCC